GGCTCCAGTGAACTCAGCGGTCACAGATCAATGCGCCCACAGGAATCTTTCCCACATCTCGTCTCCCTCTCAACAACTCTCAAGCTCTGCCAGACAGCGAGGCCGGCAGCACTGATTAATCGTTCATTTTCTGTTTTTCTTCAGGACGTCTACAATTGCCAATCAGAGCTTCAGATGGGCCGTAATCACAGTGTGGGCTCCCTGACTTGGATCATCCCGACCAAAAGCAACGAGATGTGAACTTCCCCTGTCTCCACTCATAAAGCTACCTAAATCCAAGGGATCCTATACAAACTCTGAAACGAAGCTGCAGACTCACATGTCAATCTTCACAGTCCCCCAAGGGACCAGAGTTCCCACGACAGGGACAACCTGTGCTGATCCAAATGGAATTATTATTAATGGATCCCAAATTCAGTTTGCTCCTGGACTGGATGATAATCACCAGGGATGGATTTTAAAATGCTCAACACAGGGCTGGGGATTTAGCTCAGTGGTTTTGCTGCCTCCTGGGCAAGCGCAAGGACCCGAGTTCAATCCCTGGTACCAAAAAAAAAAAAAAAAAAGAAAGAAAGAAAAAAAAATGCTCAACACAAACTCCATAGTCACTTTGAGTTAGTATGACACGATACATGATCCATTCATAAAAGAGATAAAAAGAGCTCCTACAGCGATGTTAGACTGGCAAAGACAGAGCCAGGTGGGCACGGTGGGCTCTTAGTCGTGTTTATTTGGCACTGAGTTTATCGTTGACCACGCTGGGCATCCTCAGACACTTCCTTCCTTCCTTCCAATCCTACTAGCTGATGCTTCCTTCCTCACACCCTAGTGCCTGCATCATCCATTTCTTCCAGGTCCACTCCAGTCCCTGACACCCACATTATGGAATGCACCATGTTGTCCCCACATCCCGATGTACGTCAGAGTTCCAGCTCCGAATGCCTCAGAATGTAACAGCACTTGCAGGCGGGGCCGTGAAAGCGGTACTCAAGTTGAAATGAGGTCAGGAGATGGACTCCAACCCAGAGGGACTGGTGTTTCGTAAGAGCAGGCCATGTTGTGGGGCTGAGGCTGTAGCTCAGTGGGAAAACTCTTGCTTAGCACATGCAAAGCCCTTCATACCCACAGCCCCCTAAGAAAAGAGAAACAAGAGGGAACCTGTATATGGACATAGAAGGGGAGAAAAGGTACAGACATGTGGCCACCTAAAGCCAAGGAGAGAGGCTCAGCGGACAGGAACCCTGCATATACCTTGGTCCAGAACTGAGGGACAACAGATTTCTGCAGCTTAATCAGCCCAGGTTCTAGCACTTGGTCATGGTAGCCCCGAGATAATTATTCCTGGGCAGGGATTTAGCTCAGTGGTTTCGCCACCTGCCTCAAAAGCGGAAGGTCCCGAGTTCGATCCCCGTACCAAAAAAAGAAAAAGAGAAGATAAATATTCTCAGTGAAGCAGGAAAGAGATGGAATATCATTCATGTAGAAAAACAATGTAAACCAACAGACCTTATTCAACGCTGGATGCCTGCTAGTGTAAGGTGGAGGACAAGACACTTGCAAGGCAGTGGGGAAAATTCTAAGTACTTTTTATTAATTGTGTGGGTTTTTTGGTTGTTGTTTGTTTGTTTTTTTGGTACCAGGGATCGAACTCAGATCCTTGTGCTTGCAAGGCAGGCAGTGGAACCACTGAGCTAAATCCCCAGCCCTATTAATTGTGTGTTTTGATTCGTACGTGTTTGCTGTACATAGAGATTACACTTATCCTGGGGAGTCTGCACTAAGCACTTTCTATATGCATGTACCATCCGGGGAGTGAGGTATTACTCTCCTTATTACCACCTGCTACTTTCAGCGGAGTCAGTGACATCTTCTACCACCTATAGCAGAGACCAAACAGGTGTAAGGAATAGGGGTTTTGGTTTTGTTTTACTTTGTTTCGTTCTGTCCTTGACAGCACTGGGGATGGATCCCAGGGCCTTTGGACTGAACTACAATATCCACAGCACTCTTCTCTTTCCTTTTCTTATTTTTTTGAGGCAGTAAGTCACAGTAAGTCACTAAGTTGCCCAAGCTGGGTTCAAATTTTCAATCTTCCTGCCTCAGCCTCCCAGAATGCTGGTATTACAGGTGTGTGCCACCATACCCAGCAGAATAGGAATCTCTCTGGGTAAAAGTGTCCAGAAGAAGAGGATGGACCGGTTTGGGATGTGCGGAAAAGTGGCAGAGAAGTTGGCAAGGAAATACGTGCCCAAGACAGGGAAGCACAAGAAGCTATGGAGAAGCTGCCCCCTGTCAAGAGCCAGGCGCCCTGCAGGTCAGAGCAGGGGTGCGGTCTGGAGTTCCCCTCAGACACCTGAGGTGGGTCCAGCTCCATCGGTGGCAATTTCCTCTCAGGAAGCTCACAGAAGCGAGCCCAGCGTGGCTTACCAAAGAGCACCAGGTCCCAGCTTTCGTCACTTCCGGAAGTACGAAGGTAAATGCCACTCCACGCAAGCCCCTGATGCCCCACAATCTCCCATCTGAATGGTCCCTCTTCTGAGAGGCTCATAGCACTTCAGACAGAAAATGTCTTCGTTTTTCATTTCTCACCTCCTCTGTGCTGTGCAAACTACATACTGCAGTTAATCTCTCTGGAGCTCAGAGTACCCAGAGCAGGTTAACAAGGGCTGGGACTCCTCTCAGCATTACAACGAATCTCCCCCACTGCAGCCCAGACACCCTGGATGCACAGCGGACCCCACGCCCTTCCACATCCCTCCCCCCACACTCACCACCGTGTGGATGCTACTTTTGTGCACTGCAGGGCTCCAACAAAGCTACAGGCAAACCAGGCAGATGCCTCGGTATGTACCTGGCACTAACAGGAAGGGCAAGGGTGATACCAGACAATAAAGCCTTGATGTAGCTTAAGTATTACACAGGAGCGCATATGATAAAGAGCCAGAAAAACATCTGCAACATTCCCGTGTACTTCCTGGTATTTGGCAAAGTCAAGGGTGAAATGCCAAGTGAAGATGGAACATGTCCTCTAAAACAGCTTTCCTGCTTTGGGAAGATCGCATGCTTTCCAGTCTCCCCATTTGAAAACACATCGTGAATCTACTGACAGTCAGGAATCAGGTAAGAGAGGACTCATAGGCAGAGCATTTGTAAGGGCTCTAGTCCTTAGCAAGGAGTCACAAAGTCGCAAGTCTGAATTCTTTCCTCGACCTGTGACCCCTACATGGTGAGTGACTCAGACTTGTTTATTATGCTCCTGAAACCAGCATGCTAATTCCTTAGCTTGGGGCATGGGGCCATCCTAAAAAGGATCACAGAACTCTAAACAGTGCAGGTGTCAATGTTATTAATTAAAGATCAATTGCTTATCTTTGATCTTATAAGAGTTTGATTGTTTTAGAACACAAAAGTCTTCTCACATGGATTTATTTTATTTTATTTATTTTTTTGGTACCGGGGATCGAACTTGGGACCGTGCGCTGGCGAGGCAGGCGGTGGAACCACTGAGCTAAATCCTTGGCCCAAGAACCCAAAACTCTTAAGAGAATTGTGCTGTAGCCATGGCCCGGCCTCCCCCACACCCAGGCCCAAATGGCAGCCTCCGGGCGGTCAGCACCGTGGGTGCCTTTGGCCCGTGCTTTATTGTGCAGCACCCGGACCTGGGAACGCATCTGCCAGGCTCCCGGGAGGGTGGGCTCCTCACTGCGTGAGGTGCTGCGTGGGCCTGGCTCAGGCGAGACTCTCACCAAAGCCGTCCTTCTCCAGAGGGCTGAAGCAAAGGCTGCCCTAAAACAGTGTATCCGGAGTTACTCCCTGCCTGGGAGACTGAGGCAGAGCTGGCAGGTCCCTCATCTCCCGGCAGAGGAAAGCAAAGAAAGGCAGGGCGGGACACCCGCTCTCTGGACAGCGGCCCGGCAGAGCAGAAGCCCTTTCCTGACTCCAATCCCGGCGCCCTTCACACATTCTGTGCTCCTGCCCTCGCCGGCCGCCCTCGCCGGCCTCCCTCCCCGGAGCGCGGGCTAATTCAGCGCTGCAAATTATTACGTCGGCCTTCACGTCCTGGGCCCCCGGGGCTCCTCTCTAGGGCGATCCAGAGAGGGCCCCTCCGTACCTGCCCTCCCAGCTCTGCTTTAGGACCCCAAGGTTTAGGAGCCGAAGGTCAGCGCGCCCTCTGCAGGCGGAAAAAAATCTGTGAAAGGCTAAGTCTGAAGCCAGGCGGGCAGGCCGAGCGCGGGCCAGGTAGTTGAGGGACGCTGACCGCGCCCTCCCGAGCCCCAGGCCCTGAGCCCCCCAGGCCAGCGCATGCGTGATGGGCCGCGAGGCCCTGGTGGCTGGGCCTGTGACCCCGGGTCGTGAAAGGGTTAAGAGAGAGCTACGGAGAAAGGTTAGTGCGACGCAAGAATGTGCTTCCCGGCAGCTCCCCTGCTTTCTGCACATTATTGAGATGCTCTGGGTCTCAGTTTCCTCTTAGTGGAGCCAATAATCTCTGTTTCTAGAGCAGCAGGAGTTGTCGCAGCCGGAAGCCCACCACGGGATGGGGGAAGTGACCAGGGCCGTGGGTATCGCTACTCTTCTGGCGGGCGCCCACTTTTAACCCAAACGGGGCTTTCTGGTTCTGCAGCCACTGATTTGGCGCCTAACGTGCTAACCTTTTCTCTTCCTCTGAGTTTCTAGGCCATTTCCCTGATACTCCGAACGCAGACCCAAGGAAAGAGCTTCTTTCTAGTGCGGTTGCCCTGAGCCAGCGCGAGCAGGAGAACGCACCCCAGGTGGATAGCGGTCAATCACCCCGTGCCGGAAAACAGGTTGAGCATTTCCCCGCAGCGCTCAGTCGGGGCCCCTCCTCGGTGCACAGGTACGGGCAGGCCGAGGGGCCGGGGACCCCGCAGCGCACGGGGGGTGAGGGCCGGACCGGGCAGGGGCACCGCGCGCCGCTGCTCCACGGCGGGGCTGCAGCCCTGGAAGGTGCCGAGTGGCCCGGGGAGGGCGTCGCTTCTTACCACAAACTCCTCCAAAGTCTGGTAGGTCTGGCCCCGGAACTCGCAGTAGTTCTTCCTCTCTTTGCACTGCGGGCAGCACTGGCTGGTGTCGACGTGGATGCAGCGCGGGTGGAGCCGCGGACACTCGGGCTGCGCGCACAGCGGCCCCTCCTCGGTGCACAGGCACGGGCAGGCCGAGGGGCCGGGCGCGAACTTCTCGCCGATCGCGTACACGAAGCCGCTCTCGTCCACGCAGCCCTTGCCGCGGTAGTCCGGGTACGCGTACTCCTCGGGGAGCTCCGGCGTGGGCGCCAGGTCCAGGCCGAGCGCGTCCTGGGCGGCGGCGGCCGGGGGCTCCGCCTGCGGTGTGTCGCCGCGGGGTCGCCCCTGCCAGTCCCCGGCCTTGGCGCCCCCGCCCTGGGCCGCCCAGGCCTGCTTCTGCTTGCTCCACGCCTCCCGGCCGCCGGGCCCGCGGCCGCCCCTGCCCTTCCAGTCCCGGGCGCCGCCGCCCTCGTCCCTCGCGGCGCGCCCCAGCTCGCTCACCCGCCCCGGGCCGTCCCGGGACGCGTGCTCGCGCTTCTCCTGGCCGGGCCGCTCGGGCGCCTGGGCCAGCTTCTCCAGCGGGGTGCTCGGGCTGCACAGAGCCACCACCAGGCAGCAGGCGACGAGGACGGAGCTGGAGCGCGCGCCCACTGCCATCGCCGCGGAGCGGGGCGTCCCCTACCTCGTCCCGGGGGGCGGGCGGGGAGCGCGGGCGAGGCCGAGGCGCATTCACAGCCCGGGGACGCGCCGCCGCCGGCCGGGAGCCGCCGTCCCTGCGGAGAGAACAGCAGCCGCGCTGAGCCCCGCGGCCCACGCGCGCCCCGGCCCCGGCCCGGGCATCGTCCCGGGGGGACGCGCGGGGCGCAGCCGGGCGCTCAGACCCCACGGAGCGGGCAGCAGGGCGCGGGGACCCGAGGCCGGGAAAACGCGTGCATAGGAAGCGAAGTCCAAGAAAGCGCCCGCGTCTCCAGGGGTCGCGGCGAGAGCTGGAGGTGGCCGCGGGAAACGCAGCGAGCCGGGCCCCGCGGGACTCAGGCGCTCGGGCTGTCCCTGCGCCCCGGTCCCGGCCACGCTTCCCGAGGGTGACAAATGGGGACTTCCGCAGAGGAGCTGGACCGGCGAGGGCTGGGGAAGATGAAAGAGAAGCCCTCAGCTCGCCCTGGGGGTCTGCGCTGGGGAAGGCGGGGAGGAGCGGGACGAGGCCTCTCCGCAGACCCTGTGACTGGTCCGTAACTTCTTAACTGCCCCCTCCTGCCCCGCCCGCCCCGGCCCGGAAGGAAGCCCAGCCCCCCGCCCGGACAGCCGGGTGGGGATCCGGAGCCCCGGGCTGGCTCCTCGGGGAGCTTGGGGCTGGAACCGCCCTTCCCCGCGGGGGTCTGGGCTGCCCACGGGTGGGGAGGCTCGGGCTGCTGGGTGATGCCACTAGAGAGCTGCCCGCCAGCCCTCCTGGGTCCCAAAGTTTCTGCAGCCCTAAGGGGCCAGAGCACCCGGGCATCGATGGGCCTGGGCAGGCCGGCCTCCCTCCGTGGGACCCCACGCGCCCACCCTCGGGCTCTGGCGCGCGCGTGCTCCCCGCCCTCCTCCCTCCCTCCCCGTGGGGCTGCGTCCTCCCCGCCCCCGCTCACCCCCAGCCCGGGTCCAGCCGACCTCAGCCCGGAGCGGATCGCCCTATTTACAAACTTGGGCGGCGGGCGGGGGGACCCCGCATGCACCCGCACCCTGCGCCCCAGCGCCCAGCCTACGTACATGAGCGCAGGTCTCGGCCCGGACGCCGAGCTCGCGGCGGGGGCAGCTGCGGCGGGCGGGGCCCCGGGCCACCAGCGCCCATCCTCGGGCTGGCGGGGGACCCCCGCGGGGCGGACCGCGGGGAGGGCAGTCCCACCTGCGCGCTCCGCTCGGCGCGTGCACCCGGCTAAGTCGTCTGCCCTGGCGAGCTCATCCCGGGGCTGAACCTCGGGCAGTGCCCGCGCCGCCCTCCGGGTCTCGTTCCCGTGTCCCCGGGAGGAGGAAGAGCGGCCCGGAGCCCCGCCTAGCTCTTCCCCGCCGGAGCTCTGCACACCGAACCGCGCGCGCGGAGAGGGAGCAGCCCGGAGCGCGTCTGGCCGGCGAGCGGCGCAGCCTGGCGCGGAGCCTTCGCGCCCGCCGCGCGCGCCCCTGCGCGGCCCACCTGTCCCGCGCGCAGCCGGCCACCGCTGCCACTCACCGGCCGCCGGGCCTCTCCCCTTGGCTGTTCTTTATTCTTTCATTTCTTCCTCGCTCATTTGCCCGCTTTGGCTTTCCTCTCTGTGGACAGCTTGGTTTTGCCACTGTGGAAAAAACGTAAATTAAATTGTGCAGTTTGGAATCGGCAGGCTGGGTTCGCTCCGGCTGGTGGGTTGGTTTTTTGTTTTTTGTTTTTTTTTCCTTTAACAGTCAGGAACCCGGAGGTTTTAAGAGTAAGAAACTTTTATAAAAATCCAAGTAGGGAAGTTTTGGAGTCTCTGCCGGCTCTGTCTTCTACCACAAAGAGAAACATTATCGTCATTATTATTAACTATTAATTAGTTAGAACGGTAGATTGTTTAGCGGGCTTTGAGTGGTCCAGGTTTGGGTTTGCTCTTCGGTCCTGATCAGGGAATTTGTCTTTACTTTTTGATAAATGAGTAGAGGTCAGTAGTGCCTGTCCAAATCAACCTCTGAAACTCGGAGGTGGGATTTTTATAGAAATGCCCATTTCCAAGGCAGTGGTTATCATTCCTGTTATTTTATGGTCCCTAAGGACGCTCAGATGTTAAACTCACCACCTTGCCCTGTAAGGCAGGGCTCTCTGCATGCTGAGGTTTGATCCCTGGTCCTTTGCACTCTGCTATATCCCTACCACCACCTTCCTTTTATTTTTAGGCAGGGGCTCCCCACGTTGCACAGACTGAGGGTTCGGACTTGCAAACCTCCTGCCTCAGCTTCCCAGAGTGCTGGGAATTTCTCACCCATCTCTTTATGTTAAGTGAGCCAGGTTTAAATGAGTCGCTAGAGCGAAGCCTAGAAATTGCATTCCTTCTGTATCAAACAAGATAAAATGTAGCGAGGTTGGGCACAGGGTTTCCAAAATCTTCCGGGTGATTTTTCAGCTTCAGGAAGACCGGGTGCTTCTGCCTTTGCCTGCCCCACTCCTGTCACCCCGGATGGACAAGTAGCCACCTTGCCTGTGGGCTGCAGCTGGGCGGCCACCACCTGTCCAGTGCTGATGTCCCATGGCCATGTCTGCCCTCTTCGCCTGTGGCTTCCCTGTCTTTATGAGGCCTCTGCCTTAAATCCCACAGTTGGCACAGTGCCCCCAAAAGGAGCACAGAGGCAGGCAAGGTACAGTGTGACGCTTTTTCCTGTTTGCTGCTTGCACGTTTGCTAATTCTGTTCCAGGTGTGAAATCCGCTATTTTACCACAGCCGTCTTCTCACAGGGTCGCAGTGACACCCCACAGGGATGTGGAAGATGCCACTCCACAGTTGCCTGGGGTTGGAAGGTCTGTCTAGATTGGTCCTGACCCAGTCGCAGTTCCCTGGGAATCGGAAACTCTCCATCCTGCCTCCTGGAGACCCTCTGGTTTGCAAGAAGAGGCCTGGCAAAACTATGGATCAGGTATCCCCCTTCTGTCCAGACCAGATCTCTCCGCCACATCCTCCCAAACATGGTGCAGGTGGGCAGGCGAGTGGAGAGGGAAGCAATTTCAGGAGAATTTTCAACCTCAGTGACTTAGAACACTACCCAGATAGCTTGATGGGTTGAGCAACTCAGAATATAGAGGACTTTGCCAGCATTGGAGAAATTTGCAATTTGTTTATTGCCAATGCAATAAATTGTTTTATCCTCTTTCCTCCGTCCTCCCTTCTTTCTGTTCTTCCTCCTCCTTCCTTTCTACTCTTCCTTCCCTTCCTAATCCCCTTCTGTGCCACAGTGGGAAGGGCCAGCAGCTGGATCTCTCAGGCAGTGGGGACACAGGAGCCTCCATCAGGGTCACTTTTGCAGTGTTCAGTCAGCCACCCAGTGTCGCAGGGGCTTTGTTTCCTTGTGTTTAAAAGGAAAAAGGGAAACCTTCCAAATGGACAGGACCTCGGGGTGCTGTAGGAGTGTGGCCTATTTCTGCTACCATGCCCGGTTAACCCAGTGTACGGCTGCCATTCTTCTTTGTGTGTGATGGACTCAAATCAGGCAGAGCCCCGTCCATCTGCAGTCAGTCTGGGGTGTGCTCAGCTCGGGGCTCCAGGCAGGAGCCAACTGAGACTTGAAAGGCCGTCACCTTCCTTCCTCTTCTTCACGAGCAAGACTTCTGTCTCTGTCACGACGCTCTAACCAGTCAGCTTCTTCACAGCTCGGGGTATCTGCTCTCCCCTGTTAGAGCAGTTTAGGGACTCTATTCATCTTCCAATGCTTTAGCATCTGGGGTCCTAACAGGGCCAAAGGAGTGGGGACAGTGGAAGGAGGAAAGAAGGACTGAAGAAGGAAAGAAGGAAGGCTGGAGGGCAGGGAAGGAGGTGCTGTGGTTTGTTCACACCCCTCCCCAGCACCTCTCCAGGAATTTAATCTCCCAGACCTTATGGTTGTGGCCTGAAGAGGGAGGGAACTTATTAGGGTTAGACACAGTCCTTAGAGTGACCCCTAGTGGCTTTATGAAGAGAGGTCAGGTGACACAGTGCACCCCCTGTCCCTGGACAGGGGCTCTGCTGCCTCAGGACTTGGCCAACAGGAGGGCCAGGGTCAGACGGGGCCCTAGACCTGGCATTGCTAGAACTGCAGGCCCGATAGGCCTCTTCTTCATAATGTGGCCTACTTCAAGTGGTTTCACAGATTACTAAACAATGAGCTAACTGTGGGGGACAGAGAGAAGGGAAAGATGGAAAGAGGGAGAGGAGGGAAGGGACTTGCTGTCAGCACCCTAATATATTCCTCGTCTTGGGGATCATTACTGTTTCCACTTCACAGTGGGAAACCACACTGCAGCAGGGTTGTGACCCACAGGTCACAGAGGGACAGCGAAACGTGACACTGGGGCATTCTGCATCAGTCACTGTGCCTTTGTCCCCTCCTCCCAGGTCCTCACAACTTTCCCTCCTGTGCTGAGCTCACTGTAGGAGGGCGCAGAGAAGCCAGGTGAGGCCAGAGCCCAGGACAGGCCCAGGACAGGCCGCTCAGAGGAGACTCGCCCGCCTGTCCTTAGAGTGTGCCCACCTCCACTGGGCTGTTGTGGTCAGCGTTTGTAAGGGAATAGATTTAATACAGGACACATAATTTATAGGATTATTTAATAATAGTCACCCAAAAAGTCAAATGCAGAAGAGTATAAGATCTAACCACACTAGAGAGCGACAGAATCCCGCCACGGGCCTGGATCGCACAGCACTGTCCCGCAGAAGTCCAGCTGAAGGCGCACAGCCCATGGCAATGCCTCACGCTTGTCCATATCGAGGATCTGCACCCAGAAATCCCAAAGGCCTGGGGTGGAAGCCAGAAAACCTGCACCAGTGGGGTGAAGGATTTGTGCCACCAGGCTGAGGGATCTGCCCTGGAGCCAGGAAGCGATGCTCATGGTGAAGATCAGGGCTCCCCTGAGGAGAACAGCAGTCATTCCCAGTGACAGCAAGGCCTGAGCTCCTCCTCCATTGAGAACAGCCAAGTTCGCATCAGGAAAACCAGCGGCAGCAAGCTTCTCCTAGAAATCAGCAGTCCACGCTCTTCCCCTCCAGGTCTCTTCCTATGCCATTAGCAACAATCCTCAGGTGGGTCTTCCATGCCCAGAACCACACTGATCTAGTTCAGCTGGCCTTCCAAACTGGCCATTAGTTAACCCACCACACAGCTCTACTCGGTATTCATTCATCCCAATGAATCCTGGGATCGATTACTAGAGGCGCCATCAAGGGAGGGTGGCTTAATGGAAAATGAGACCTGGAAGGTGGGGAAGCAGGTTCACATTGGAGGAAGAAGCAAGACAAGGTGTTCTGGGATGGGAGGGACGTAAGAGGATTCATCTGGGAGAGAAGCAGGAGCTCTGAGGACGCTGAGATGCATGCAGAAGGATGCCACAGAACCACCTGCTGGCACTGAGAGTGACAGTCTGTCGTGATTTGAGAGTACAGAGAGATGATGGGAAAGGAGATGTGGAACGAAGTTAGGATGTGTGAAGAAGTGGCAGAGGGGCTTACGGGGACTGGAAGCAGGTACGGGAGAAGTCTTTGCCTTTACAGCACCGTGGACCTCCTAGGGCTGCAGAGCCCAGCTGGCTTTAGTAGCAGCCATGCAGGAACAAGTTTGGCTGCCATTGCACCTGGCCCTCAGAGACAGGGAGAGAGGGCCAGAGGGCCTCTGGGAACCGCGACCCCAGAAGATGCAGCTCCTCACTGTGTCCTGTCCCCGAGGCCCATACCCAGACACCTCCCACACGCCTTCATTCTGCACACACCTGACACAGCCATGTCGCACTGGAGCTCTGGCCTGGGCCGGTGATGGAGGCCCTGTCAGACCTCCCTCTACAGGTGGCAAGGAGGAAAAGCCACTGCTGCCCGAAATTAGATTCAGCCGGGTTTTGTGGCTCAGGCAGAAGGCTGACCGTTAGCTCAGCCTCACGAGTGGAGGAGCCACCATCACTGGCGCTCAGATGGGTTTTATGGATGTGCACAGAGCCAGCCGGCTGCTAAGGGAGCCACTAATTAAAGTTCTGCTTTGGAGCGAGCTCTGTGTGGTCAGGGCAACCAACCATTCCCGCTTAGCCTTTGATACACAGCTGGGGCCGAGAGTTAGTGTTCCCTGGCTGGCCTGCCGCACAGGCTGCCTGATTACAACACACCTGGGGGACTCATCCCTTCCACCAGGGCGTCAGAAGTCAGCAGCAGCTGTTCACAGCGTCAGATGGATGACTCGCAGGTATTCTTCTGCAATCATGCGTGAAAGCTTGCTTCTTGAAGGTGGCTTCCAGGGATCCATTCTCAATATACTACAAAGTCAGCCACAGTACAAACACAGTGGCACGGCAGACCACATCCATGATGGTGGGCAGAGAAGTCTGGGAAGCTATCGTTATGAAGCAGCATGGCCCAGAGTTCATTGGTCTAGGAAGTGCAATAAGAAGATTGCTTGGAATTTACAGGGCTATGGAGAGCACATTACAGTGCTCTTGTAGGAAAAGCCTAGGGGTGAGGGGAGAGAGAGAGAGACTGGAGTTCCACTATTAATGAATGAAGAGTCCTGTGTGGCTTCTTTCCAGGTTTTTGGTGTCCCGAACAAAGAACTGGACAACACACACACAAAAGGCAGTGAAAGTGCACATAAGCAAGGCAGAAGAGAAATAACTGCAGAATGAGGATGCTCCAGTAAAAGGCTCACGGGGCCTGAGGATAAGGGAAAGGGATCTTTTGTATGCAAATTCCCAGGTTACCTCTCTTTCATGCAAATGAGGCATTGGCAAGGTCCCCCCTGGCAACCCCTCCCTTGGTGTCAGCCACACATCAACTGTCCCATCATTTGGCTTCCTGCCTTATATAAATGAAGGACCAGGATTATTGTCTTTTGATTGGCTGTGGCCACATGCAAATAAAAGATTGAAAATAGCATGTTTCTGGTCCAAAATCACACTTTTTAGATCGGCTCTGTGCAGTGATGATGGGTCGCTGTGTTAGAAGTGTCCCTCCCTCCCCCTGGAGAATCCCTGACCCTGTTGCTCTGTCTTACCAGTGTCCCCTTCAAGGGCAAACTCCCAGTTTCCTAATGTCCTGCCACCAGGTCCACCTCCTATGTGTCCCACTGACTTCTGATGTCACCACAGGCTGGTGACCAAGCCTCAGCACCTGGGCCTGCAACCCTGACATGTGACACCTTGAGCTTCAGCCTGCAGATGTGCTGGGATAGGTGACCCATGCTTCACAAGAGCCACCGGGCCATTGCCACTTGGAGGTGTGTCCTTGCTTTCATCTGCTCAGAATCCAACATGGACCTCCAGATGTCTGGGACTTGTGTGGACGAGAACGGTGACAAGTTCACTGGTCTGAGTTAGGAAGTGCTCAGTGGGAACGGAGGACCAAGGACAAGCGTAGGAGGACCCTGGTAGACACAGGCACACTGCCGCAGTGTGCATGCACCCAGGCACCATGAAAAGGCTCTCCAGCACGGGTGCCTTCCATGGCGCATACTCCACCAGCCTTCCCAGGGCTGATTTGGGCAGGCTGAGCTAAGAAAGGGCCGAGCCCATCAGAATGCCCGAGGAGCCTTCAAAACCCTTCATTTTCAAATCTAAACTCTGTAGCATTGGTAAGATAGTGTCACATATACAGCTGTCCCTCAGTAACCACAAGGAACTGGTTCTAAGACCCCTGGCCATGGATGCTCAAGTCCTTTATGTAATAGTTACTCTGAGTATATAACATCCACACCTTCTCCCTTATATATTAGACCATCTCTGGATGACTTGTACCCCCAGCACACTGTAGGTGTTCAGTAAATACAGCTACTGTATTGATCTGTTTCAGGAATAATGATGAGAACAGAAGTCGGTACATGCTCACAGTAGGTGCAGTTGTTCCTGAGTATTCTCAGTTGGTTGAATCTGTGGATGTGGGACCCATTGATGCAGGGGGCTGACTGCATCTGTTTAACAGTCTCTTTCCTCCTCTATGCACTGAGCATCCTTACTCTAAGCCACTTCTGCGTCCCCGTATCCAATACACGTCAGATCTCTAGCATGAAGCAGGGTCATGATGAATGTTTGTTACATGAATTAACCAAGGGTCCCTGAACATAACTAGGGTGACTTTTCCTCAGTCTCTCCCTACTTCCTCATCCCATCCCAAGCTTGATCATGCAGGGCAACCTGCTTTGCTGGACAGTCCCAGACATTTAATATACTGTTCCTCACTTAAGAGCATGCTGGTTAGATTTACCTTCAGATAGCGAAAGGATTGCCTTCCTTTTAATGCCAGGCCCAAGGAAGCCTGAACTTAATAGCCTTGCAAGAAATGTTAAAAGAAGTTCATTAGGGGCTGGGAATTTAGCTCAGTGATGCCACCGCCTGCCTCGCAAGCCCAAGGACCCGAGTTTGATCCCTGGTACCAAAAAAAAAAAAAGAAGAAGAAGTTCATTAGAGAGGTATCATGGCTTGTGTTTGGATGTCCCTCCAAAGCCTCATGCAGTTTTAGATGGGGCTTTTCCAGAGGCAGCTGAATCTAGAGTGTGTGTCTAATTCATGGTGCAGTGCTAAGCCAGACAGGGCCTAGGATTAAGGGTGTGAGTTCTATACCCACCCTAAGTAGTCTAAATAGGGTAAAAGGGGCAGCAAGAGGCTGTTAAGGCCCCTTGTTGCTTTTGCTGTCTTCCACCGCCCTGAACTCTTTCTTCTCTGGCACCCTGCCTTGGAGCCAGCCGATTACGGACTGAAACCTCTATGAACTATGAGCCAAATTAACTTTTCCTCCTTTAACTCTGGGTGTTGGGTATTTTGTCTCAGCAATGAGAAAAGCAACACAGAAGGAAACTGCTATAGTTAAAATCTTCAATCTCTATACGGAAAATCAGAGCATCAGAGAAAGAAGAAGTGAAGATTAAAAGAAGTTCTCATATTCTGAACCGATCTAAAGGAATTCCAATTAATTACTGGATTGGCTTCAGTCTAGACACAAACCAGCAGTTACATGATGAGGAATCCCATAGTTGGTGACAGAACCTTGAATCTCCCTGTGTCACCACTCTGGATGAAACAGGGTCTGGTTATTTAATTTTCTGGAAGACAGAATGTTAATTCAACTGAACGGACTAAGTTAAATAATGTGATGTAAAGAATGAACCAGTCAGTGATTAGTACAGAGACCTGCTCCAAGAAGTATAAAATAGGACAGACTTCCCACTCTCAAAGGCTGCCCGAGTCTTCCCAGCCAGTGGTGCACATCAGATGCTGAATTTCTTTCTTGAACATCACAAGGTAGTAGGAAATCGTGAGGATGCAAGAGCTATAAACAGAGCAATCGAAAAGGAATTCCTGGCCCAGAACCACAGAGAAATAAAAAAGGGCTGGGCATGTAGCTCACTGTGGAATTCCTGGGTTAGTTCCCCAGTGCTAAAACAAAACAACAACAAAAGGTCTCTATTAATGTTAAAGTATGTGGGGAGGGGAAGCACTTTTAGTGCTGTGGCCAGGTTTCCCTCTGTGGTGAGCCTAAAAGCCTGGGCTCTAAATGCGCTTTGAAGTCATTTCCACCCTGCCCCACCCCAGGGAGGGTCAGGGTGGCGGTTGGCTGGAGGTGAGTGTCGCCTTCCCAGAAGGCAGTTAGGCAGTGGCTGTGATAATAGCCCAGCAGGTCAGTTCTGGGTAGTTTCTCCTGAGGGCAGATCTCAACAGACAATAGAATGTTCCTCTTCCTGCCTGACTAGCAACAGGAACTTGGTGCAGCTCCAGAAGGCAAAACTCACAGAAGTGTGAGGGCTTCTGCTTGGGCTCAGTTGGAGATTTTAAAGTCAGATTTGTCCACATGGAGCCCAAGGAATTAGTCAGTCAGTTCAGATTTTCCTACTCTGGCTCTAGGTCCATTGGAGGTGGCCTCTTTGCAGACTTCTCTGCAGTAAATTGTGATTCTCTGTATTTGCTCATCTTCCCATTGGATTTTGTAGCAGACATTTGCGCTGTGTGCTCACTCCTCTGAAAACAATTGGAGAGGTTTTTGTTGATTTTTCAATTTGTTCATCTTTTCACTTGTAAGGAGAGAGGAACAACTTCTAAGCTTCTTTCCTCTCAGATGAGAAACCAGAAACTCCCTATTATTCTTGGATTGATTCTAATTTTTCAAATCGATCCAAGACAACTTTCTATTCTTGCATTTAAATATATCTTCTTCTTGCCTCAAGGATAATGTTATTATTTATGCATTAGAAGTTTACTTATATATGCTCAGACCTGGCTTTTTTGGAGATTGTGTACAGAGAGAGGATGTCATGGTTTAGATCTAAAATATTTCCCCCAAATTTTTATGTCTGTGGAAGGTTATTGCATCAGTGAGGGCGCTGTAGCTGCCTTGCAGTTAGGAGGTGGGCCTGGTTGGAAGTCGTTCTCTGAAGGTGTGGACCAGAAGTGTGTATTCTCACCCCCAGCTCTTCCTCTTTCTTCCTCTGCTTCCTGCCCACCATGGGTCAAGTACCTTTCCCTCCGCAGGCCCCTCCACCATGCTGTTCCTGCCTTGGAGCAGCCGACCATGAACTGAAACCATGAGTCAAAGTCAGCCTCTTTTCCTTTAAGTTGTAGATGTTGAGCATTGTGTCTCAATAGGAAATTGTGTCACAAAAGGAAAGTGACTCAGACAGAGAGATATTGATAGTTAGATGGCAATAGATGCAGAAGTGTTTGCCACCCAAGATCCATTTCCTTTCTGATAACAAACACTTGAATTTCCTCACGGACTAAGGCTCCCCATTGTCAAGCCACCTGTGTCTCAAGCAGAGCTTCTTGTTAGGACATGGGACCAGGTCTGGTGGCTTCCTGGCTTCTAGGTGCTGATGGGTGGCGTAATCCTTGAGATGACAGTGAGGACCAGCCTGAACCATCTTGTGATTGTTTTTTTCTTTCTCCACTAGCACTGAGTCGTTTAAAGTGAAAGCTAGGTTTTCTAGAGCAACACAAGTGATAGGTTCTACCTGAAATGGAGCTAACACAGAAGAGAACTGAAGCAAGAAAAGAAGATGAACAGTTCTTGAGAGTGTTATGCACAGTCCTTTCAGCCCAAGGAAGTCTCTACTGGTGTTCTTTTCAATTCCCTCACCCTGTATATGTTTTTCCTTTCTTTTCCCCAAGCCTATTTGAATTGGAATTTTCTGTCACTTGTAAATTCAAAAGACCTGACAAAATGGCGCTTTAAGTTCATTCATTGAATTGTACTATTTCAGTCCAAACTGTGGTGCCCAAACATATCTGCAGACATCACAACCCTACCATAATGATGGGTTTTAGAGCCCTTCCTTGTTTTCAAAAGTGGTCTCTCACTTCGAAATTAAGCCCCTGTTTCTCCTGCACAAGAACTCCTTTCGTGCTATCCCAGCAAATCTGCCTCTGTGCTCTCAGAGGCAGAACTGGTCCTGAATTGTGTGGAGAGTTGCCACTGCCAGCTTGGCTATGGTGTTTTCTGGCAGCCCCAGCATCCAATCAAACTTTCTGGATCTTTTCCAATTATAACCCCATTAAGAAATACTCAGCATTTTCTGGCCTTGAATAATGTATTGATTTTTTTAAAGGAGAAAATACTCACGTAATAGAGTACCCCCCAGTGTTGACTTAAATTCTTTTTATTGTAATTTTTTTGTTTTAATTTTACTGGAATATATGCAAAGATAAAATGCTCCAAACCCTTGTGTTTATATAGCTTTTAGACAATTATAAAAATAAATTTACAGATCAGATACAAAATAAACTATAAACCCAATGAAATTGAAGCCCTGCATGCTGGTTTAAGAAGGCAGGGAGGCAGTTTTCCTGAGCCCTGGGGTGCTCAGAGCATGGGAGGCCTTTGTCTCTAATTATTTGGGTTCATCTGAACTCAGCATGGTCAGGTGGTTCTTGCCTGGTAGGGCCT